GGCTTGTTTTACAACGTCGTTGCCAAGCGACGAAAACCCAACCCCGATGGCTAACACCGGGGGAGGGGCGTAATCTTATGTTTTGCATGCCTTAGCGTTTAGACCATTGACCACGCGTCCCCGAGAGGACGGAGCATTGTTCCCACAGGACCGATCACCGATGGCCAATCGTTCCTTTCTACTTTGCCAAACACCGGGGGGGGCGGCTTGTTTTACAACGTCGTTGCCAAGCGACGGAAACCCAACCCCAATGGAAACACCGGGGGGGGACGGCGTCCTAGAGGTTTCGGGGTCGTATGCGGCTCCTGGAACCCCGGATATCCGGCGATAGGGGCAAAAATAAAAGACCTGTCCATCCAAAGGTTTCGTACTAACCCAAGGTACAAGTGTGCAAAGTAATAAAGTCTAACTCCTAAAAACGGTGTGAAGTTTTCATGTTGAAGTTTCTTGTATCCGTTTCCTTTAACCAGCTTGTAGCAAAAGGGATACGCGTACCGTACTACATGAACGGACAAGCAGCCAGGTCGGTGCTCCACACAAAAACACACGCACGAGTTCAGCAGACAAAAAACACCAGCAAGCTCGGCTTAATTGAGGCTCACGTGGAAGTCGGATACGGTTAGCAGTCCGTCTGGCCTCCTGACGAGAACCAGGTCGTTGGCGGCACCGACTTTGGCGTACACTTCATCCGCCACCCGATTGCTTAACTGCTCGGGGGGGGGGGGNNGGGGGGGGGGGGGGGGGGGGGGGCAGGGCGTTCCGTGCGAGTTTCATGATATGTGCCACGTCGTACAGCTTACAGCAGAACCATCCGTGGTGACTTTACCGATGATGACGCTTCCCCCTCCCAGCCAGAGCACCGCTCTCATCCAAACAGGCATGCCTCCCGCGGAATAAATACCTACACCGACATCACGTTCGTGCCGAATGTTCACAATTGAAAAACGGCAGAGATCTGTCCCCGTCACCATCCGCAGCCAGTGTCGTCCAAGTACCACCAAATACAACCCCTCCGATATGTAGGACAACACCGCTCGTGCTCCTCCTGCGGTAACCCTATCTAGTGCTTGTCCCTACCAAATCTTGTCCACATCGCCCTGCTCTAATAACTGCCTTCATCTTCCTCGTATTATAGAGGGCCGCACCGCACACTTTTCTCACCTGGGGGGGTGGACGTGGTTCTTGGCTGTCTGTAGATAGTGTCCTCTGCAAGCCAAACACACGGGGCGGGGCGCGGAAAATGCGGGAGATTTTGGGGGAAGGCTCATGAGGCATGGCGGAGGCATCACGACATGTCTCCACGGGGGTATTCATCTCTCTTTCTCTCTCTCTCTCTCTCTCTCTCTCTCTCTCTCTCTCTCTCTCTCTCTCTCTCTCTCTCTTTCTGCCCACTCATCACACACGCAGAGGGAGGCACACAACGCGCCCTCTGGGATGTGCCCTTGGGAGGGTTGCCATGCAGCAGGCGTTGTAACCATGCGCCTGCTCCCCATGGCAAAAGGTGGTCAGGGACATGTCGGGACAAAACCAAATGCAATCCCACACGCGGAGAGCCAACTGGGGTGTGGTTGCGATGAAACATTTGGCTGGCTTTATCAACCCTGCAAGCGGAAACACCAACATGCACTTGCACCATATTTGTAGGCTGACTACATATGTACGTAGACTAGTGTACAGACCCGCCAGGCAGTAGAGTCATTTAAACTCGATTCATGGACCGGCGGGACTTTTTGGGTCTTTCGCTGGTTTTTACATTTTTGGTAAAAAACTCTCATGATACAAAACTCGAGAATAGATTTTCACAGGATAAAAACACAGGACCGCTAGCCTGCGCCAGTACATCCTCGGACAGCTGGTCTTGGGCAGGTGGGCTGCCGTGGTGGTCCAGCCAAATTCGATCAACGGGAAGCAAGCAGCAAGCGGAACCAGAGTGCTTTTTATCATTTTTCAAGGTGATACGAATATGCACACCCTCACGTAGTGAACGAATAGCGGACAAGGCGCGTTCGCCTCTGCCAAGAGCGCCCCCAACCCACGCTAGTTGACACTCTGGATGTTGGCACTCGGGCACGTTGATGATAACAAACCGTTGGTCCTTCTTCTCTTTATTTTGTGCCAAAGAGAAAATAAGAGAGAGGTTACAAACGACGCAAAGACAGGCAGACAGGGATATACATGTACGCACACCGTGTGCATCAACGGCAACAACAACCTCCAGCCTCCCCGCTGTGTCGACTCGGAAGGGCCGCCCTGCCCCCCACAAAAATAACGGGGCAGCCCATAAGCTACGCGGCGAGCCTGGTGGAACTGTGTCTGTTCGTTAATTCGTCTGCGCTTGCGTGCGATGGCAGCACCAGAGAAAGCGAGAAAGAGAAAGAAACACGACGACAGAAGAGGGCAGAGGGAAAGAGAGAGAGAGTGCAGCAGCATGCAGCAACCTCACGTACGCGTTGATATCCATGCAGCACAACAAAAAACATTCCGGGCAGTGCCCGAAAGCTTGGTTGGGGGCTGGCGGTGGTGGCGGCATTATCATGACTGTGTGTTGTGTCTTTACTGTTGTGACGGCGGTGGTGTTTGCTGCACAAGCGAGGAGAGAGGAGAGCGAGAGAGGGAGGTAGAGAGAGCAGTCTGTTCATCTCGGAACACAAATATATACTTGGGGCTCTGGACCCCCAAACCAATTTTTGCTCACGATTCATGAATTTTTGCCCAAAAGTCCCCTCCGATACAAAACTCGATTCATCCACTTTTTGGGCGCTTACACTGGTTTCATGCATTTTTTCGAGTTCTAAATAACTCTACTTCTAATAGTTTTTTTTTGTGAAAAGTGTGGCCCGTTAGGGGTACGCTTTTTGTTTTGTTTTGCAAAAACAAAGCTGTTTAGAGGGATCGTGTGTGGAGTATGTGCGCACGAGAAAAATAATAATTTTCATGCACAGGGGCGTGAAAATTTAGCCATGGCTGTCTGTCTGTCTGTCTGGTGTCTGTCTGCGCGCCCTAA